GAAAGGAATGACTCACGCTGCTTCAACGTTTTTACTCTTTCTTCATAACAGTGACAACTTTTCTAGGAAAGATGTAATTACAATTCAAGAACATGTTAACAAATATATATTGGAGCCGTTATTAAATACGTTCATAGCTTTTGCCAGGTTTTACTTCGAAAAAAATGAACCACATCTCTTCAATGAATTTTGTACTCTATTGTCAAATTGTAGAGATCCATTTCAATCCTTAAAGACAGAATACCTATTATACAAATATTTAAGAACCGAAGGTTACATTGACAATCTTACAGCAGAACAATTTGATACTGTTTGGAAAACATGTTGGGGATATCGACAGCACTTCATTAAGAACTCAAAAGCAACTTCTGATATTATTGCAAAATGGCCCTTCTACAAAACCTCGACTGGATATAGGCTGGTAAGAATTGTTGAAGTTGTAGATGTTGTAGATGTGATGTGATGAATTGACTTTTGTTTTAGATTGATATGGATTTCAAGTTAGCGTTCCGTAGTTGTAATGTGGATGGCTTACTGGAACACTTTGATGGAGTTTTGAGAAAAATTTATACTTTTTTGACGACAGAAAACCATGTTAAAGACAAGTCAGTAAAAACTCTACTCGAAAAATTAGAAGACGCCACAATCTCAGAGAGTAAGTCAAATTACATCAGCTAGTCTAATAAGTAATAATCATTTTCCTACATTAGAGCTGTCTTTATTTTTATGTACGTAATCTTATATTACTAATTTTACATGTAGGTACTAAAGCGCTTTAAACAATAATTATTAACTATTTCTATTATTGCCTTTCTAGACGGACGACATGCTGCTGGTATTTGGGCATTACATGGCTACTTAGTTCCAACGACAAAAATTATCAAAAAGGATGTGACGGGGAAAAAAACAACCACCAAATTCACCATCAAAGATTCACAGGAGTCTGTGATTTTTGTCGGCGATAATCTCATTGAAGTCGAAGATAGAATCAATCATCTCAAGCGAACCAAGCAATCACTTCAACCATCAATATACGGTATTGGTAAATCTTTTCGACTTAGAATTCCCTCTCGAGAGTGAAATGTTTTTTAGCTTTCTAGAATTTCATGTTTACAAAATTAAGCCTACTTGTAAATACCCAAAGGTACAAATCTTATGTAGCTATTTAAATACTAGCGAATAAAAAATTCGAAAGTTAATTTTTAGTTATTTTTTACCTTATTATTTGTTACTAAAATTTAAAAACATGAAAGCTCAAATTCATTATGAGAATGAATAGGTTCATTGACTGAATGAAACCCAATACATTAATACAAAGAATACATTCATTGTATCAATGATTCTTTTCATTAGATCGAAAAACGCATTCTTTTATTTGAAGAATTAAGTTCATTGTTTCAATGAACCTTTTCATTGTCTCAATGAACCTTTTCATTAGATCGAAAAACGCATTCTTTTATTTGAAAAAATAAGTTCATTGTCTCAATGATTCTTTTCATTAGATCGAAAAACGCATTCTTTTATTTGAAGAATTAAGTTCATTGTTTCAATGAACCTTTTCATTGTCTCAATGAACCTTTTCATTAGATCGAAAAACGCATTCTTTTATTTGAAAAAATAAGTTCATTGTCTCAATGATTCTTTTCATTAGATCGAAAAACGCATTCTTTTATTTGAAGAATTAAGTTCATTAATACAGAGAATATATTTCATTAGCTTGATGCAGGAATTCTTTAAATTGAAGAATTGGGAATCATTGAAACAAAGAATCACTTCCATTAGAATAATGAAAATCTTCACTAGCTTAAGAAATTTTGTTCATTAACGAAAGAAGGTTACTTTCATCGAGTCAGTGAAGCACTCTTCATTGTAACAATGAATTTCTTCATCGGCTGAAAATCTATAATGAAATTTATTGTCTTAATGAAGTTTTTTGTTGTATTTAGGCACATTTTTGGTTCAGTGTATTTTGTGACATTTATGCACTTTAAACAACGGACATTTAATTATTTTCCAAAGACTACTTGATCCTTCCACTGCTAATGTGATTTGGGTATGTTTCTGGAAAAAATATAAAGTCGTTTCTGTCAAATTCCAAAGACAATACTCTGATTGAAAACGTAGCTTACCACAACCCATTTAACACCACGTTGTCCCAAATTTTATTTAAATTTTTTGTATCCTCACAGCAGGCCCATACATAGTTTGAAACATCTTGTACAAATTGATTGTTTACTTTGACAGTTCATATGAAGTGTTACTAAATTTGTATTAACAAGTTGCTTCGAACAAAATTGGTACATATTCAAAATAAATAACGACGAATTTACAAATCAGGAAAAATTGGATATGATCCTAATTTATGGGGAATACAGAAAGAATAGGCGTGATGCTTTCCGTGTTTACGGAGAGCGGTATCCTGACAGGCGCATGCGAAGTGCTATGCCCACATATTTAAATTCGAGAGATTGAAACAGAATGCGATATCTCTTGTTATTTATTCTATTCAACGAATCCTAAAATCTAGCAAATTTAGACCTTTCAAAATCAATCTGCACCTAGAATTAGAACCAGGAGATTATAACAGAAGACTGGCGTTTATTGCATAGCTAGCGATTGCTCGTGAAGACGGCATTATAAACTCAATATTATGGTCAGATGGAATCCGTTTTCATAATAATGGAACTGTCAATCGACACAATCGACACAATTGCCATTATTGGTCTCTAGATAATCTTAATTGGATGAGAGAGAGACTAATTTTCAAAGAATTTGGGGAATTAACGTATGGTGAGGCATGATCGATGGGTACATTATCTGACTAAACTTTTATTAAGGAACATTAACTGATGAGGTACATTTAGAATTTCTTCGGAGCGAATTTCCAGGTTTTCTTGAAAATGTTCTGCTGAATATACCTGCCTACATATATTTTCAGCATAATGTGGCACCCCTCACAATTCTAGAATTGTAGCTGCTTATTTAAATCAAATTTTCCCTAACAAGTGGATCGGTACATATGGACCAATAAGATGGCCTGCAAGAGCACCCGATCTAACCCCGTTAGATTATTATTTTCTATGGAGATATTTGAAGGAGAGGGTATACCAGACGCCTGCAGATTTGGAAGATTTAAAAAATATTATTCGAAATGAGTTTGGGGCTCTCAATGCTAAATTATTAAAAAGTTCGAACATTTTGAATATTTTAGCATCTTTTCTGTCGCTTTGAGTGTCAAGAATCTTTTCATTTAATTCATTTAACATTATTTCTCCTCCAATAAAATATTTGTAAATCATTTTTTACAGAGACGTACATACATAATAATGCACGTGCTTTTCATAATTTTCTACAATCTCAATTTTGGAAACATTTAAAATGCAATTTTACAAAAAAAAAAAAATGGGAATTACTGCTGAGTCATTAGTTCTTAAACTGTTTTGTACAAAATTTTATTTAATACATCCAATATCCTTGTGGTGTTATAACGATGCTTTTGAAACATTTTTTTGAACTGACTAAAGACTCTACGGAAACGGTACTAGGTCACATATAAAATTTTTATTGCCTTCAAAACGTCTCTAAATACCTCAACCGCAATAAAACTAAGAATACGCCCGTTCTCAATGATACCAAGTTATTTTAACGACGCCGCCGGTCGTCGAGTCATGGGAAATTTTATTAGCGCCGGAAAAGCCGCCATTCCGGAAATTGCAGTCCTGCGAAATAATTATATATACAAGGTGTCCCATTTAAGGATTCTTCCTTGGCGCTGTTAATATCAATGATACAAAAAAGTGTTTCAAATAAAACTTGCACTAAATCAATTTCTCCACGTCTTAAAATTATTTTCAATTATACAGGGTGTTTCGTTTCGACTGGGCATTACCTAACTTCATAATCTCAGTAAAAAAATTAGGGGAGTAGAACAATTTCCCACATTTTATTAGTGACCTTTTAAAGGATGTAACTTGAATAATGGTCGTCGAGAAAAAAAAAGAAGCATCTTGAAGCCTTAAGATTCTAGTTTTGAAATCTTGAGAAGAATTTTTTTTTGGGCGTCACTCTTGGCGCAATCAGAAGAAATAATCCAAGGCAAAAATTTAACATTTTTTTTTTCTAAAAATTACCCATCGGTCAGAAATTTTTTTTTCTGGCTTAATCAATACCAGGGTTATTAACCTGATTCCTCGGCTCCAATTTGTTTTTTTTTTTAAATTTTCTGTACGATTATTTCTCATTGTGATATCGGCTAGTGAGTGAAAAGTCACCTTTTTGGAAGGTAGGTTTTGGAAACTTGAATCAATCCTCATCAAGGGCCTTTTCGTAGGATTGAGAAAATTTTTTCTCAGTATTAATTTGAAAAGTGTAAAAAATGACTGTTTCTGCTGTTTTGGAAATTCCACGACTACTTTGCGAATATAATAATAAGACAAACATTGTATAGGAACTGTCACATTTTTTTATACTTAAAATAACTATCTACTCTAGATACATTGAGAATAAAAAAAATCATTTAAAGTATAGAATGTATTTCTTATTAAATATTTTTGCAACTTCTTAAAAAATATAAAATTATATATCTATGTTCTTCATCTCAGAAGGTAATTTATTAAAAAACTTTTAAACCTAAATAAAATGGTGAAGCACAAGATATTGTCTACGCCTCCGCCTTGTGGTTGGATTTTTGTTGAAATAGTTTTTTGGGGTCCCCGGCTAGTGAGACTCTTGGGAAGGCGTAGAACGTTGTAATGTTGAGAACACTAATTAATATTTGACGAACTTATTAGCTTTCTTTTGTTTTATGCGAATTCTTTTTTGGGTTGAGACTTTTTGTAAAAAAGTCACAAAAACTTTCGTAGAATAAATAAAAGTCGGATTTATGGATTTAATGTGGCCCGAGATTCAGTTGTCGATTCGTTTGGTGGAGCGCGGTGTAATGTGGCTGACTAAAACAACTAAAGATTCGAAAACTCAAAAATAAATGCAACTGCCGAACTAGTGCTATAATTGCTACTACTGCTGTATGACGACCGCGAGGTGGTCTAATTAATTTTGGTCGGACGGGGGACTGAACGCCGTTCGCCGCTGCCTGCGACGTTCTGTAGGGCCCCCTGCACGGAGCGATTTGTGCTCGTTTTACATTAGAATTAATGTAAAATCCTTGGTTCGGTGACACCTCCCTCCTTTGTGCGAATCGACTTTACTGATTGTTGGGCCTGGTTTTATTGGAGACTAAGAAATGTTATGCTTACATGAAAAATGACAAATAAATGTGCACGCAGTGCGGAAAATGAATGTTTACAAAATGCTACTATATAAAAATAAATGTTGTAATGGGGTAAAATATGCAGTCTGTTTTCTGTCTCTGGGAAATGTTTGTCACTTTCACCCGCGAATACCGCTAGGGTATTTGTCACTTGGTTCGTTCGAATTCACACTCGCGACACTTCCCGCACTCGAGTCCACGGTTGACGTGGCTGCTCGGCCGCTGGGACTGCTGCTGGCGTCTGGCTCGGGAGACGGGAACTGGGCGGCCGACTCCGGGTCTGCGGCATCGTGGTTGCTCTGGGACTGGTGATGTTTTGGCTGAACTTGGGCAGCTGGCACGGCGACTGGAGCGTAAATCGCCCTGATTTGAAGGCTCTCTGTTGTCGGCTCGCTGCTTTGGCATGGGCTCTGGGTCGGCTGGGACAGCGGCTCGGGAACGGTGGCCTCTCTGACCTTGTTCTCTCTGGGCTGCTGCTCTAGCGTGGTGTCGGTGTTGGTGGTCTGGTTTGGATTTGGTACCAGGGCCATATGGCGGCCTAGGTCTCTGGGCTCGCTGTTGCTTCGGCTTTGGCTGCGGCAAGAGAGCTGACGGTCGCTCTGACTTAGTGGCTCTGCGTCTGCTGCGGTGGACCTTGGCTTAGGCTGTCTGCGGCTTGGACCTGGCTGTGGTGGCTCGACCGGGAGCGATATGTCACCTTGACATTTATGCTCTCTGGTGGCTGACTGGCCTGGTTGTGGGGGTTGTGGTTGGTGGTGGTCCCCTTGGTCTGGGTCATCGTCGTCGGACTCTTCGTCGCTTAGCTCGACGTCATTGTTGCCCTGCGGTGCTGGGCGGAGGTCGTCTATGTGGTGGAGTTGAGTTCGAG